TTGATGCACAAACCACGATTTTGACTGCCGTTGCGCTGCTGATGAGACTTAAGTGGGGACGAAACTGAAACTGCAAAAAAAGCTGGAAACCTTTTGGAAATACGAAAAAAACAGGGTTTCGATGCATTTCCTGAGATAACATTGTGGAGGGGACTATCATTTCGTATGGCTTAATTGAGTCTATATGAGAAGTAAGATAGAGCCGGATAGTGTTCTTGCCTTAGTGTTAACGTGAGACTCTTACAAGAATGACACTCAGCTCCGATGATGTCCATCGAATGATGAACGAAATCTCAGCACGTTTTCACCCGAAACGAGGGAGAGCGTTTTGTGGACTGCGTCAACCTCAACATCGTTAAAAGCTGCAGTGCAACGGGATTCATCCGTCCTCATCTGGTGAGATTAACCAAAGAATCTCTTCTTCATTCATTTTCATACGAAATGAAAGCCCGCCCAACAACTTTTTGGAAGCTGAGGCTAAGTAAAGAAGTGGTTTAGGAAGATCTGGATGAACTCACATTGTCTAATGTCCTCCGGCATAGAACTTCCATTTCGAGTGAAAGTGTTTGGCGAAGAGATTCGAAGTTTGGTTCCACCAGTCGATTGGCTTTACTGGAAGATTCATGCGGACGCTGTTTACGAGGCAATCTCCTTTGATTACGGTGAAAAGGTGCTAACCTTTCGTCCATCATATGACGAACATCATCAAAGCAAGGTATCATCGTCACAACAAAATTCAAGCTAACGAGTCAAGAAAACTCACCGGCAAATCCCTAAAAAGTGATATATATACTCTACATCTGGCTTCTGTGATCAATTATAAAGTGATTTGGTTAGTTAAGATCATATGTCAACTTCGACTCTTCTACATCTGGCCTCTTTGATCAAGTATAAAGTGATTTGGTTAGTAGTTAAGGTCATATGTCAACTTCTATGCATGTGAGTGTGTCTGTCTCTGTAACTGTATGTGCATGTTTGTGTTCGTTTATGCACGAAACCCGGAGTGATGGCTCAAAGTAATTAAGACAGCAAAAAGGAACGTCTGTTTTTGGCCATCAAGGTTTGATGACCCCTATCTCCCCCTTTCTACATTTAAGTTACAACCATCACTCAGATTGCGCAAAGTCGGAAACTCGTCTGGTTTTGTTGATGAGCCTATTTTTTGTTTTTGGTCTCAATGCAAGAGAGAAAGAGTGAGCTAAAATGACAGAGAATTGACTATCATTAGAACCAAAACAAGAAAAGATGAGATTCGTTGGTCGATCTCACCAGATGAGGACGGATGAAACTCGTTGTACTGCAGCCGGTTGGATTGTA